TTGCTTTCTGAGACTCCATACTGGGACTGCAAACTCGACCATATGGGGGAGTCAAGAGAGCCCAAGTTTTGGAAAATAGGGTGGCCATTTTTTTCAGTGATGAAGTTGGGCAGCTGTTGTCGGACCACTAGCGAACAAGCTTGGTTCTGTGGTCTACAGTAGCGTTCTGGTGAAAGTACTACGAAGTGTTCCAGGAAACGTAGTTGGGTCAGGGTTTTATTACGTCAATCAGTACTCTCTTTGAGCACTGATCTTGGTAAATTTTCACGCCGGCACCGAAGAAACCACGAGTGTCTCAGTTTTGCCAGTGACTTCTTCAAGAAACATTTTACTGTTCTTATAGCAATCTTTTTGTGAGAGATTGAGCACTAGTTGTTTCTTACCGGAACGCGAACGTTTTGGTCGTCGAGGGAAGGTTTTATCGTAAAAAATTTTTTTGACCAAAAGAAAACGATGAAGGGTCGCGTGTCATCACTCAAGTGGGTCAGCTACTTTCTGCATTTTTTGGCTCTGCAGTCCCCGTTGAGATCTGAATCGAAGTCAAACTTTGCATAGATAGGATTGGCAATGAAGCTCCTGCATGACATTCTTCCATTGCGATAACACCAATAACCGTGCCCGTTGACTTCCTTTTGATGGGTCGCCCAGGATCACGACCGGCTGGCAGACCCTTTCTGCCTTTCCTGAATTGTCTCTAATTCAGTCGGGTGTGCGACGTTAGTCTCGAATGACATTGCTTCGCGACGAGGTGNAAAAAAAAGAAGTTCTTTACATCTTTCACGGACTCCATTTTTATGACCCTTGAATTTTTCTATTCCATATTGTTATAGAACTTCTAAATCCGAAGACCATGAAATTTTGCATCTTACACGAACTTCATTTCAATGACCCCCGAATTTTCCTATTCCATATGGTAATAGAACTTTTAAAACCGACGACCATAAAAATTTTACGTTAAAAACTACTTTTCTGGGAATTTCATTTTCTCACTATTCTCATCATTGCCATCACTTTCATAGGTGAGTTGAGGTTAGTCACGATTAAGGGGAGTCGCGTAATTAAGATGAGGTTAGTCACTAATGAGGTCACTTCGCACCTCGACGCGAAGCAATGTTATTCGAGCTAACGTCGCACACCCAATTCTGTCTTCTCTTCCACATCGTTTGATAGCCTACTATATGGTTTTATGAAAATCCCAAGGAATTTCATACTGCCCTTCCACCTCTCGCGTGTTAATGATTGCAAGTGGCATTAACTGAGCCTTCATCATCTAAAAAATATTGTGAGTTCCACATCAGTAGCCATGCATATTGCAGGAAACCTTATGCAACTAACTAATAGCAGGTAATGTTAATTTGATAGATTACCTCTACCTCAGAGAATTCCGAATTTTGGCGCCCATAATTTTGGGTTACCCTGTACATACATTTACGTTACATTACATACACATACCATATACATACATGAAACCACTAGTGTTGTATTTTTTTTACCGTAAGCAATTATATAGTTGTGCTCTATCCCTATTTCCCTCACTACGAAACATTACAGACGGTAGCGAAGCACCGGGTGAAAGAGGAATAAGGATTGTGAGTAGAAGCAAGGGTATGCAAGCGTATTTATCTCATATATCTCACTTCACTGAGTTCTCTGATATACAATCTGACAATGCTGCTCTACCAGTTCTTTTCTTTATTCACAAATGCCTAGACGCTTCTTCTGAAACCACCCGAATGCTGCAAGGGCTCATTTTTGACCGTCTTTTCAAGAGCTGGTTTCGACGGCGATACAGTGTTGGCTTACCTCGTTGTACAATCTAGTAAAAGAGAGAAAAGGCAGAATTTCTAGGAGATTTTGTGAATGAGTTTTGATAGGGCGGAAAGTACAAGGGCAGCCCTGCAAAAATAAAAGATCTCCACAGTTGCACATACAGGAAAGTGCTCAAGGGTTTGGGCTCAGATCCTGCCAGAGAACAAGACATTTCATCACAATTTCTACAAAATCCTGGCAGGGTGTAAAACATTCAGAATGAGGAAATGTGGAAGAGAATATTTGCGTCATGTGATGTTCTATAAATACAATCCGATGAAAACCCCAAGACGCACCTTCAGGGGAGGTGAAGCCGTTCACATACTGTTCATCTAATCCTGCCAATCACCTCTTCTCTTCAGTACATACTTCTAATAGAAGTGTTAACCAGTCTACATACAATACTACCAGCGACGGTCGCAACCGATTGATCCGTCATGGTTCTTCACTTCACCATGAGTTCCACTGAAGGGCTCTGATCGAAAGGAAAGCAGGATCAGCGGAAAGTTGTGCTCATGAGAATTTCAGATACAGGATAAATCCGGAACTTTTTGTTATTTTCTACGTTCATTCCTGGAGAACAAGTCTTCAAGGGGAGCAATGACTCGCGACTTTGCAAATCTCTTCGATCAGTTTTCAATTTTCCTGGGTGGAGGCCAAGAATTGGAGAAGATCGAAAATTAGTACTGGGTTTGAAATCTACCTGAGCTGAGCTCTCTGGTCTCGCATTTTCTACTTATTAGCTAGAAACATTAGCAGAATCCATGGCGATGCGACGATTCGTGACAGATTATTCTGTTGCAAACCGCTGGTTGACCACGAATTGCTAGCAATGTTGTACTTACTGCTAGGGGAAATTAAAGGGGATCGTCAGCATCCTCGACGTGAGGTCGTAAACTGTGACTGTATGTGACTGCATTCGATTTTCAATGAGCCTTTCTTGTCAACCGCTGCCACTACAGTATCTATCCATGACTAAGGCCTTTCGAATACTTTGAATTCGGCCTCTACATGATAATAACCTATACTACTATTACGATACTGTCCATACTACTATTATTGAAAAAGAACGAAAAATTTCACCAAACTTCTCACCAAAGTGGAACTTGCCTGTTTGACTATTTATGATCGCCCACATCAGGATAAGCCGGTGAGGGATCATTGCTGAAAGAAAGGTTAGGCCTGTTATGGCGTTCAAGATAAACTGCTCCGGAGAACTTCCCGATTCATGAACAATTCACAAGCACAAAATTCTATCGTAGCGGTGACGATGACCTTGCCGTTGCGATGGTCTCTCAAACATGTTATCATCAAAAATATGAATGGGTCAGTAGAGTGAAACTATTCCGTTCAGGGAACAGGCGAAGGAGTTGCATGACGGATGGGGAGACCAAGTTCCTCAACAGTGAGTGAGAGCATGGAAATCTGCATAACATGAAGGAATGTAGTGGATATATAATATGCATGATATGAGTCATGGTACAAGGCAAAGAAATTTGAAGGAACCTGCCGAACGGGGTCGGCCAAACATTCCCATCCTCTGATCGGGGAGTTAAGAAATAGGGCAAGCGTTGATGCGTACGGTGAAAGCAATGAGCCGATACGACCAAATCCTCCGTCCCTCAGTCTCATCCTCGCGCGAGTTTCGGTTGGTCAATTGAGGGCACCTCAATGGCTGTAACGGATCCTTAGGAATTCGAGACTTTTTTCACCCCAGCGGACTCCATTTCGACCATATTTAGCATTCCTAAACATTAGAAAATAGAAAGAGTTCGATTTGATTGGAGCTTTTGCTGTTCAACGGAATTCAGCTGAGATAACGAGTAACAACTGCCTCAACACGAATCTTCATTACATTGTTTTATACAAAATAAATAAATATAATAGCATCGAGAAAGTCATTGCTTCACAGTTGACCTGACGTTTGGAAAATGTAATACCCTCACAAAAACTTGGAGAAAACACATTGTTGGGACAATAATGGGATAGAGAGTGACAGCAAAAATGGCTTTTCTCAATCAAAATAACAATAATGAACTGCAAAAAGTAAGGATCAACCAGCTTGACACAAAGCGCAGTGACCGGCAGAGTGTTACCGTGTCTTATTCGGGTATTGAAGACTATAGGCTCTATAAGCTTGAATAGTTGAGCCTTTCATAGAACAAGTTAGCTTTCAAATCATTGAATCCGTCCATCTACTTTTTGCCTTTGAATATCGGATCTCAGGGCCGGCCGTGAAGATTAAGAGCTGATAAGTACATCGAAGTCAGTTTTTTTGCTTATCAGAAGTCTCAATTACTGTTTTTGGCAATTGGGTACAGATTGTAGATTGTCAGGCTCTAACAATAATCAGAATTCTTCACGAAAGGAATGCTGAACCTCGTGTCCCTGAAGCGAGGACGATTAATTGGACCACTCTGGCTCGCGACAGGAACAAATAGAGACGTTACTGGCGCCCGCTCGAAGAAATCGATGATCAACGGGACGGCAGGTGATACAGGTGTGGTGATCAGAAGTTTCTTACACATGTCAGCTACATTTGGAAAAAGAGAATCTTGTCGCACCTACAGAGATATGAAAAAGCCTAAGTTTAGGCGCAAGAACTGCCGTCCAGCATTATTACCCGAATTCGATCGACTCCGAGAAACTGATTCTGTCGGGTAGCCGTTGCGATGAAATACACCTGAACAAAACGTCAAAGAGTACATTTCCTTCTCACCACAAGTTGTTAGATAAGTCGATATCACTTTCACTCCCATCTCTGATGTTTTACCATTTTTTAACGAAATGTACTGCTTGTTCACTCCTCTATGAGGATCATTTCACTCTTTCATCACTGAGTAAGTTGTATTATGGAAGGGCTCGGTCTACAGGAGCGGTTTCTTGTTTCAAGATTCCCATCGTTATGACAGGCAGCTGTGTGAAGCCGAATTCGCAGAGGACAAGGTGAGTTAGACTCATAGTTCGCCATAAAAACGTTCTTTGTTATATCTTTGGATGAGTCTGCGGGCCCCTCGCATACCACTGTGCCGCTGTCAAATCGAAAAACGACCTATATAGATTGTTGTAATGGCTCATAGACTGTAGCAGCTGCGTGCTACACGCACAGGTATACGAGTTTTGACGGCGCTGTAGAAGCTGCACCATTCACAAAGGACTTTCATGTCGGTAGTTAGAAAACTACTCTCGTCCAAATATTCCTTCTATGCCTTTCTCGTCATAGTAATCTAGTACAACCTCTACTTTCACTAATTTTGGGGAGCCTCACTTTCGCAGAGTACGCCAATTTTCTCGCTTTCTTCGCCAGCGATACATTATTTTCCAACAGCATTTCCGTTTTCCAACTATATAGGGAACTTCGAAATTATCGTGAATCATGCCATTAAGTCCGATTGGTTGTAGAATTCGAGAAGATGAATTCCCAACCAAAGCTTTGAAGAACTGTTTATGGGTGATGTGAATTCGGATGATGACGTATTTTTCCCTTTCCTCACTTTTTCAGTAAAACCCCCTCGAGTCAGGGCTCTATACAGTATTCACGGTGGTGTAGTTCAGGCAATGACGCGAGCTCATCCATTCCCTGTTTCCGTTATTGGTTTATCCTTTCGAATTCAAATTTTTCAAAAGTAGAACACCCAGTTGAACTTGCCTCCGAGAGCCCAACAAGATCGTTCTTTGCAAAACCCGAGAAAATTCATTCTGTAGTAGCTCTGTTTCGAGGTACGCTATCTTTTCTGGGGAGTGTTTTTCTTGATTTCTGGAAAGCAGCGAGTAATCGAGAACGACCTCGGATCACAGTTGGGGCTATGTAGGGATTCAGTGGTTTGATTAGAGCACGTTGGACTTTTCTCTATCGTGTGGACATCGTCTTCATCACGCGGAAAATCCTCGCAGATTGCCCTACCTCTCATTGTCTCAGGAAGCTAGACTACGTGGTTGCAATGCGTACTATTTAGTTGCTAACAACAAATGCCATTCAGTGATAAATATGTATCATCCTTTGATTAGAACTTTGTCGGGTTCCCATTTTCAGTCTTGTTCTTCGCCTGTCGACCTTGTTGCCCAAGGGCTCGACGGCATCTCATCTTTCATGTGATCGTCTTGGCATAGGGCGTAGAGCGACTGTGCCCGCATAGGAGGTAGACCACCGCGATGGCGGCGACCTTCAGGGAATCAGTTCAGGACGATCCCCAGTAGGTCTGGCACGTTGCTAAGTGCATGATTCTTCCTTCCTTTCCTCGAATACTGAGTGCCGATCACGGGATCGAACAATGTCACCCGCACTTAAGCACAGATGATTGGGCCTCTAAAAAACAAAAAACGGAAGTTGTGTTTTGTCTTAGTAAGAAAACAAATAAAATCATAGTATGCTGCCTATTCAAATTGAGGGGCCCACAACAGAGGAAACGCTCGCCGATAAGGAAGCTGACGATGAAGTTTCTGCATAGTACTGACTGTAGTCCACGACCCTTTACCGAGTCCTTTGCTGTCTTTCAAAATACCAAAAAATATTCAATTAGAGAGTATGGTTTGAACCCAAGCCATTAAATAATGAAGCTTCTCCCGACTCTTGGAGTGTTGCCTTAGATAGCTCGATGGCCCGAATTTGAAGGTGTATCCAACTAATGTAAGGAAAGATAAGTCTCAAACCGACTCATTACAAAAAAGACGAAAAAACGCAAGTTTGCGTTAATGGAGTGCTCGTCGACAAAATCCTTGCTTTATGGTTTGTGTCATAACCAGTAGAAGACAACGAGCCAGTCAGTTGGAAAGCCTCAGCCAAAGTTTTAAACGGTCAACGCTGAACGGTATATTCATCTGGCATGCTATATGTGTTCGCGTAGTTTGCACACATAACACGTTTCTTTAAAGAGCTTCTGTCATTGGATTGCACTGGAAGCGTGGCAGACATTGAAATTAGAGGGATTTTATCGTCCCGCGAATGTGCCACACCGCAACCCCTAGTATCCCAGCATCCAACCCCTGAACTTGGCCTAAGGACTACTTGAACTTGGCTCCTTCAAATTTGCCGAATGCGTCATTTTCCTGCCATCGTCTTGCGCACTCCGTTTGATGTACTAGTCTTGAGTGTTGTGCTCGCCTGTCCAATGGGACCCCACCACCACCGCCGTAGGCTTTACCCGAGGTGTTTTCTCTGCGCTCTAGCCTCTTGCCGCCAGGGAAGCAGAGAAAGTCCAAGTAGTCACGTAACCCCTGTGCTTCACCCGTAGTACCTTTCCTTTGCGTCGTATATGCGACGGGTGTTTTGGAGGCGCTTCAGCGTGTGTTTGGGTTACTGTGTCACACATTCACGGGACGATTAAATCCGTCTTGTGACATTGAAAGTGCGGTGTTCGGTAAGGAAGAGAACCGTGTACAAATCTTCTGCTCGGTTGGGTCACTGAAAATTATGATTCAGCTCGACGGTGCCCAGTGCGCCGGCCAACATTCACTGTCGTTAAAATAGAATGGGAGACACTTGTTTGCGTGTTTCTTTCAGAAGGCCTACAAAAGAGGCCCAAAATAAGAAAAGTGATCCTGACTATCGAACATTGTACACATCTTCATAGAGAAGAATTTCCCAGAGAGAGTGAAAGTTAAATCGAATTATGTAACAACCTGACGCACAACACATTCATACGTAAATAGTTTGTTATTTACCTTTTTTCACACATAGTAGTCAAATATAAGACTCACCTTTCTAACCCCCTTGCCTAGATTAATAGCATGATTTGTGTGCCAGAAAGTTAATTTCGAAATAGGAGGTGATTGATAAGGGCAGTTGTCGAACGAGTCGATGCATACCTGAATAGTAAGGTGGGTGAGGGAAGAAGAAATAAGATAACCGATGCACTGGAACAAGTGGAAACACCTTTATCACTGATTCCTGTTTCTCTGATTTTCTTCACCTTCACTACAGTACTGCCGTGGATCTCACGTATATTCGGAAGAGCAGTTCAAGATAAAGATGATTTATTCAGGTTTTCATGTAGAACAAGGCAAATCAAGGAATCATTTAAGATAAATTCCTGATTCTCAAGTATACCAACTGAGTCGTTTTCAGGTTGATAAGCAATAAGGGCCCAAACGCAGGCGTCTACATCAAAAGTGGACTTTTTCTAAGATGCTCTAGATGTTGCACAATTCGCAATGGAGCACAGAGGTTGAAAATTAAAACAGCCGACACCGCCCCCGGGGTGAATTAATGATTTATCTCTGCGTTATACCATAGACACGAGGTCTCAGAAATTATCAATAGAGGATAGCAGAAAATAGCAATAGGCACCTTAGCGTACGCGTAGGAGTAGCCAGCTCCCTACGCAAGTGGACACGACTGATTTATCGCTCAAACATTCCCTTCATATCATTCCCATCACTGTAATCTCACAAAACGCTCTAGATCAACCACTTCCGAGAAGCTCTATATTTCGTGAAATCTGCGAGTTTTCTTAATTTCCTAGCCGCTGGCGCACTATTCTGCACTGACTGCAGCTTTTAAAGTTTACGGGTACGTCGCAATTCTCGCGAAATGGGTCTTCGACATTTGGTTCACATTCGATGGTAATTATGCGTATTTTTTCCCGGAGGCAGGGTCCACGATAGTTTTGAGGTCTCCTTCTAAGCCCAGAAGCGGAAGAATTGGCAGGGAACAGTGCATCAGTAGCGAAGGGAGCGAGAAAATTAGTCAATTTGCAAAACCATGCTCCTTAAAAGTATTGAAAGTAGAGGTAGTACCGGGATTACCGTGACGGAAATGACATGGAAGGGATTTTTGGGCGAAATTTCAATTTTTGCCATTGCGCAAAGAGCTAACTAATATCACGCTAAGACTGTCCAGAATTACCTTTCTGGGTAATGACAGATTTTCTAAACTCCCTGCATGGGTTCCTTTGTAAATGGTGCGGCCTCTTTAATGCCGTTGAAATTCGTCTGCGACAATCTTTAGGCCTTTACAAAGCCCTTTTTAAGCCGTTTTCTGACCTGACAGCGACACATATGGTATACGACGGGGGCACCGATTTATCCTAATGAGATATCTCATAAGCCATTTTCTGTGGACTGCACCTATTTTTATGACCTCATCTGAATAATCTTATCAATCTAATTCTTGATTGCATGGGAACAGACTCGGTTCATTTCTTTGCAGCGAGAACTGAAATCAAATATTCTCTGAATCGCCTAGGCTTCTTCTGAAACCTATTCACTATTTTCATAGGCCAGGAAAATTTTCCCATTTGCAGAATTCGTAGAAAACAGGATCCCGGACAAAGAGAAATAGCGGTCACTTTCATCTGTTGAATGCGACCAATGAGTGAATTGAGACGTTACGGGACGTCAGGCACTGACCTTGAGCTGAGGCGAATGCGATCTGAGATATACATCGAAAGTAAGACGGGCATCGGAAGAAATCCGGAATTTAGGCGACTCCATGACGAAAATCTCGTTTGACGTGTCCACGTGGTTTTTTCCAACGTACACGTAACCCACTGGAAAGAAGGAAAATCAACGGCAATGGCGGCACAACTCCTTACACTTATTAGTGTAAATAAAGAACGAATAAATGCACCAAAAAGGGCTGTGAATGGGGAAGATAAGCCTGGTGAGTTATCTCTTTTTATATTTTCAACGTGGTGCAAAATGATAGGTCACCCAAGTTCAAAATACATCAAATACTTTCCTAATGGTCAGTACCATACGTTAACAAGAGAAGTGTCCTCACAGAGCTCTAGAAGGAACTCGATGGAAGGAACAGAGAATGTCATTTCCCTAGGATTGAGAAGAATATAAGACACGTTAGAAATTGCATAAATTGCTCCCCTCCCCATTCAGATCAGCCGAACTATCAAGGAAATATCGATGAAAAAACAAACTGTTGCTGTGATCGAATGGATTCGGTCGTTGAATGCCTGTGTGCCGGTTTCCAACGAAACCAGAGCCGACTTGCCAAGAAGAGCTGCAATGGTTGTAGTTTATTTGTTGCACCTTTACACGTACCTATTATCATTTGTTTGCTTTTCTTACATTAACGATTTTCGTTAGTTGAATGTCAACATTAAGAATGAAGGATTATAAATTTGACGACAATCAAACCCATTCTTAAGCTGCGCCTTGTATTCGATTTCCATTCGGAATCGTAATGGCTTCCCGAAGGAGAACGTCCGTTGCGCGCGTCCGTCGAAAGTAGATCACCCTGCCCACTTCGCGCGCGGCGCAGCCCACTGAGGCCTCGGGATGACATTACAGTACCACCAAGAGTCAGTGGAGCGAATGATCTGCATTTGTTCGTGTTATCTTCTCTTTGAGCCGACTGTCGTGGATCAACCGCAAATGGTATGCCCCACTGACAACAGCGACGTTCGTAAAGTATCGCGGGCTGACCCGTCGCATGCGACGGCCGCGGCGTGACTCAGTTTCGACGGACACGCGCAACGAAGCGCACCCCTATACAAATCTGGTTCAGATCAAGTGACCCCAGAGGAAATGAAGGCTCGGTCGATCTAGGCAAATATCACTGTTACACTACATACACAGGGAAACCTTAGCCACAGGATGAATGAGTCCAATTCAACTTAGTACCAGATCACGATAAAAATGGTTCCTGAGATTTTCGTATAGAATGAGTTCGAGGTCCCCTCGTATACCATATCTGGCGCTATTAAGTCGGAAAACGCCTAGTTAACGAGTTATAAAGCCTCAAAGCTTGAACCGAGTGGATCCTCGGACGTGTTTCACCGTATTGTAGAGGCTGCAACGATTACATAGGAAACCATGCAGAGAGTTCAAACAACTTGACTTGACCCATAGCGACAATGAAAGCAAGTCTGGACTTACCGTGGGATTTAGGGCATTTTTAGTGTATTACTAATAGAACGTCAGAAACGCTAGGAATTTCACCTACCAACCTTGAAGCAGAAGCAAAATTACAAATTTCAAGAGCAACAGAAATGCCGAGGTCTAACGATGAGAGGGTTTGGAAGTTGATTTAATTCTGGACTGTTCTAGCCTGTCATAGCCAGCTCTTTGAGCAATTGCAATATCTGAAATCTCGTTCAAATACCCTTTTCATGTTTGTTCCGCCATGGCCATCCCATCCAACCTCCAGTTTCTCTACTTTTGAGGAGCTATATTTCCCAATCATCGAATGCTCCCGCTTTCTTCATCGCCTATGAACTATTGCCAACCTATAGCTCCGCTTTTTGAATAAAAACGGGTACCTCACAATTATCGTGGACTCTGCCTTGAATCTTTTGGAGCAGTATGAACCCTACCGTAAGATTTCTGCCGCAAATTTACCAGTTGTTACTCATGTACGTTCACCTAACGAAACTCGTTCGGCTAGTCACATACATGATGATGTTTAGAAGCGCCGTTCATGATGATACCGAGATATCTAGCTTATGTGGAACTATGGCAGTTGTGGTGTAGATAGTGCAAAGGTGGCGAAGAAATCGCAAAAACTGACGGATCCAAGAGTATGGGGCACCAAAAAAGGAGTAAAAAAGTGGAGGTTGCTCGAGATTATGACAACAAAAGAGGCAAGAAAGGCAGGAGTATTTGGACGAGTTATCAGTTGGTGCAGTAGTGTGAAGAGCTGGCAAGAGTAGGCTAATAATGGCAGAAATTGCCTTCTGAGCGTAACGACAGTCTAGTTCATAGCATAGAGAACTGCCCTCTAAAAAGAAAGAGAAGACGTCTGAGTGCTAGTTCAGCATGCGTCGTCGTCTGTGACTATCTGGGTGTCTCTCGTATAAACGTACTATTCCTCGCTGTCCCGACGCTTCTTTGTGAATGGTGCAGCCTTAACAAGGCCGTCATTCCACTGCCACTGTCGGGTGGCACGTCGGTCACGCTGGTTTTGGAGTCCTTGCAACGCCCTGTCGAGTCGTTTTTCGACCCAACAATATCCTACGCACTGTCTTTGAAGGCTACAGATTGACCCTAAGGAGAAATGTTTAGGAATGCGGTTCTTTTGTAGCTTTGACACGCATTCAGCGTTAGCCTTAGAACTCACACCGTTTACGTCTAAACATCTGGCATAATGAGAAAGATCAAGAGGAGCCATTTTCATGAAAAGGAGTTGCTTCGAGACCAAACTAAATAGAATGGGACTTTCAATTAAGAATTAATATTCTTGCACGCTCGCATGCAGAATCTGATGGCTAGGAATTATTGTTTTGTGTACTTTCTTAAGGTCTTTTATAGATTGTTCACTATGTCAAAATACATAAATGGATTACGTACGTGCTGCCAAATCCATTCAGCTTATAGAAGCATGAGTGGTTGTGATTGAAGTCACAGGCAAGCTCTTCACAGGCTAGAAGGTCCGCTGCCCTTTCTTCTGTACTATTCAGCTGAAATTAGTATAATAATACTAGCTTGAGAACTCAATCCAACAAGCTTTCATCCATTAAGTTCATTATTGTCAGGAAAAACCTTATACATATTACATTTTGCTGGCAGTTCATGGAACATTTACATGCATACTTATATTATGTTGATGCATAATCATTGCGGGTTTTTTGCAACAAATTTCATTTAAAAAAACGATAAAAATACTGAATAAAAACATGTTCAAATAATTACTTCGGAACTTATCGACCATCACGTCAAGCATTGCTTCCCATTGGCTAAATAGACGGATTCCGAAGGCGAAGAAGTTTTGATCCTTGGAGGCGATTCACGCTTTGACATCAGCCATCAAGTCATTCAAATAGTCGTAGCTCCTAATCCCTAGCCAGTGTTTCAACGAACGGTTGATGTGGTAATCCATAAAAGTTTCTTCCGGTGAATATGGTAGATTTAAAAGCAAATCCCATTTCTTGTTGGGTTTGGCTGATTTTTCCATCACCGAGAAGTTATTGAGATCGCGGAATGACCGTGCCACCTTTCAACTTTCCTCGAAGTGGTAGAGCATAATTTCGCGAATCTGCGGATGGTTTTTTCGACACGCTTTTTAGAGAAAATCATGGAGATCATTTCTATAGAAATGCCAAATTCAATGTTTGAATTATATCGAGAGAAAAGAAACCGCGAAAAATCTGCAATAAATAAGTATCAAGCTAATAGTTACATTAGCCTTGGGCACAGGTTCGTTCTGAAAGCGATGCTTTGTAGCAAATAGAGAAGGTTTGCCAATTCAATTGGAAGTAGACAATTCTAAGAGCATTGTCATGATAACATAGGTGCGAGCAAAAAGTGTTATATGTACAGTCGAGTGAGTAATTGCTCAATGAGTGTTCATAACCACCAACCAATTCGCACTTCGCTCTCATCCTTATTCTTTTTATCGCCTTCTGCGCAAGTCAATCTCATTCCTCCACCTGTGAAAGGTAATAATTATCGAGAGGCATGTGCACTGCGCTAACTCCTCGACTTTTGCTGCGCCTCTTCTGACGGGCGTTCCTCTTGTCCAGAAAATAAGGTATAGGGTTGCCGCCCCCACTCTGCCTCCTTTCCTAGGCGTGCCTCATTCTAGTAGGGGGTTGTTCTCAATGGGAATATTTCAAAATTGTCGTGAGCACAAATAATGGTTCTGAAAATTAGCATCTTTACTTCTCTACTGCAGTTATCAAATCAGAATCTCATCATTTACCAAGACAGGAAATAGGAGTGCATTAGGACCTCTCAAATTACGGGTTTGCAAAAAAGACTGACTCATGCGTTCGAGGACATAATGTTTCGGCGAGCATGCGTAACAAATGCGTTGTATTCAACAAAAACATCTTCGTGATTGTTGTTTAAGAAGACAAGAAATTTAGGTGGAAATAAGTCTGGGAAGTGCATGGATACAGCAGGTGAAACACAAACCTTTCCGTCCTGATCTATTTGTCCAACAGTTTCTTGAACCGCAATTGGTGGTGGTTGTTCAGGTTCGCTGTTTGATCCAATGTCGAAGGTCATCGCTCCTCCAATGGGCTCTAGCTCGGCGCCTCCAGCAAATGCATCTCGTGCTACATGACCGTTTACCAAGTGATTTTGTTTTTCCTAAACGCCATAATCATTTGAATTTTTCCAGAAATCGAAGAACTCATTCCTAGTACATCTTCCGAGGGAGTGTTAATCTCAAGTTCCATTTGATGCCCAGCGATCCTTTCAGTCCTAGTCACTTCCTTACCAGTACTGCTCCTTTCCCAGAGTGTCGTAGGCTATGAACAATATTACATAGCATCAGTCAAGGCCACAGAGAAAAATAATCTATGGTGGAAAAGATTCGCAAAGCAACGCAGTCACACGGCTTTCATGCTTCTTCATCCAGTCATAAGGAGCTCCTTGCTGTAGGCTCCTAGATCAAGTTCACAAGGAGAAAATTCAGAGCATCTCTCCAAGGTAGTTTCCATGATGCCAGCAATATGGCTGTAGAACAACAGAACCACTGACCTATACTACCAACTGAGCCGAGTGAACTTCGGTGTAAGCCGAATACGCATCTGAATTTCTTCCGAATGCATGTCAAAAGCATATTTATAATGCGACACATGAAAAAGGAATTGCTCAACAACTGAAGTAGGGTGCAGTTCGCATCCAAAATGCCTAAATTTTTTTCATGCTGCAATTGTCGTGCATGCCTCGGATACTGGACCAAACAGTTTTGCACTTCAATCGGAAGTTTTAATGCTGTCGTTTTTTGAAGGCTGATTCGACGAAACCATCCGAAGCGGAACTTCATCATTGGAGCTCAACTGGGCGGTGGATGCCCTTGTTGTCGGCCCGTCGAAACCAAGGCGAATAGACGTGGCATGGTTTTCATTCTTCCCCCATAAAAGCTCGGATATAGGATGTGAGTCAATTCAATCAGTTGCTCACAGTAAAGTCCTTTTTTGCAACCTGTCTCACCACGAGCCTCGTCCTTCACAGTTGGTTGTTCTTTGACTTGTATCACTTGCATCATCAGTCTTCCTGTTGATTATAATTCGCCCGAGCAGTATCGTCTCCTCCTGGCCCTCTTCGCGAGCCATTGCATGTGATGGATCCTCCTCGCTCGAGAAAACCAACGCATCTCATCGCTCCCGTACAAGCTCTCATGAAAAAGCCTGACCGTAAGATGCCCACCCTAGTGCTCGTCTGAGGTAAGGATCTAGTCATTAGGCGAACTGATTCAGAATTGGGGCAGTTTTCACAAAATCGCACGATTTGTTCAGCTCACGTACTTACTGATTTCTTCACGCAGGCAAAGGTGTCCCTCTTCCCTGAATTTCACTCGTTGCAGGAACTCTGAACGTCGAGTTCGTCTTATTTCTTACATGTATCAACAGCTCTGAGCGTTGCCCTTTTCACCTCCGTGCAATGATGCTGACCGCTTACTTATTCCATCTGCATGGAGCCTATGCCTCTGAGACGCCATTCATTATTTCATAAACATCGTCTTCGTAAGATCCAGTCGCAGTTGAATGTTTCCATAATACCTGTCGAATTTAGCCAGCTTTTCTTCCGTCTGCTCACTGTTAGGTTGTTCAAGCACGTCGTCTACTAACAATAAGCGAAGGTTATGTTATTGATGACCATCGACCTTCACTCTCATATGTTTCCATTCCAAATGACACATCTTGCTCTCAAGAGCAGCATTGATAAGTCAGCGTTAGCTAACGACGTTTGATAGCATTGTTCGGTCGTATGGTCTCGACCTTGCAACTTTGCAGATTCGAAGGGCGTCGCGAATGCTCTTCCCAGCTTGGGTGTCTCCAGCAAGAGCTGTTGCACTTCTCTCTAACAAATCTTCCCTTATCTTTTCCGCATAGCTTCGTAGTTTCGGATGTTGATCGGCAAACGCTTACGGCCTGCGCGATTACACGTTGACATAACAGGTCGAAAGTCTTCAAAAAGAGGCATCTCTCGGCTAATTGCATACTCTCTACTTTCATAGTACTATGGTAAAATGTTCGGAAAGTTGGTTGTATTCTGTATATTTGTATTCAATAGTGGAATTCTATCATAAAAGAGGAAGCGAAGCAAAGGAATCTCAATTGATGCCGGCTCAATTGATGCCGGTCTCCGGGATTCGCTTCTTGAATCAGTCGGATCGCTCTCCATGCATACTCGCATTTCGACATAAATCTTTCCCCNAAGTAACTCTCATGTGCAACGCAAGTGAGAAGCCTTCTAGATTCGCGAATCACCGCTGACATGGCAAATTCGGACAACCTAACTTTTAGTCAGTATATTCTAGTTGATTCCGTGACTCTCGACGCGAAGCTGTTCGGTTGTTCTTGGTGTTGAAGTCGTCCACGATAACCTTGAAAAGAGTGCAGTCATCCAGAAAATTTCTTCAGGTCCACATAAGACACTTATGGCCAAACGCATGTTGAGGTGAACTTTTCCACCACCGAAACATTTACAGTCGCATAGTCAAGTAACATTTTTCTCTAAACTCAAAAACGTCGAGCAGCAGGCGATGCCTTCTTTTCTCGGACAGACTGATGGGTTCGTACATTCTGCTCTTGGCTTGCATCATGAGATCTTTGAAACGCGCTTTCGAAAAAAAACGCTTGTGCATTGAAGGTACAGATCGCCAATTTGAACATTCTACTTCTTTTAGGCAGCCTATTGTGGCTTCGAGATTTCAACAGCATTTCTTGAACAGTCCTACCCAAGGCTGTCATTAGGGCTCTCACGTTCAGAGTAATTACTTCTACTCATAATACTTTTTTTGGATACGGAAAACAGCAGTAGCTTGCCATTTTTCACGTAGCAACTGGGTAGACTCCGTGCAGTTAGCCAAACTACCACAGAGTAGACAAGGAACTTGTTTTTTTGAAGCGAGCTCAAACTCCCTTCCACGTGCATCCACCCACTTGAGCGCAAAATCTTGGCGGAGCTGTTGTGCATACTCAAACGTACCCGCAACTTTCCAGGAACGAATACATGGACAACCTGCAAGAAAGGAGTAGGAATAAATCAACTTATTGCAACAGAAACAAGGGTTCATCCCGTGGATCCGTCTGCGTCATTGGATGAACAATAATGAGTGTGGGTCTGCTGTGTCCCACCTCTCCGCCACCTCTGATGGCGTCACATAGACTCCGACCGGTTAGAAATCATTCTGTGACTCTCTGTGAAGAAGCTCTGGGTGATTCTCTCGTGTAAGCTTCAGAATAAGAAGCGACTATGGGGAACTTTTTGGAATCCTTGCTTCTGTGTGGGTACTTCAAATGCCAGTTTTTGAAGTCTCGATCAAAAAGAACAACTCTGTTCGGCTTGATTTTCAACTTTCGCGCCTTCGTTAAGGCCTCGCATGAAAGGCAATACTTGCTGTAATCTATTACAGCTTTGACCTCGTAGACTGGCGATTTACGAACACTGCATTCTAAATCTTCCATCAAGTGGTTCACTTTACTCACCGCCACTGAAGAACTATTCTCTTCCGCTGTGCTTGCAGATTCGTCGTCGTCGACCTGAAAAAAATGTGTAAAAAATGCAGATGAGGTCACGAGAGGCAGCACAAAAGTCTAGACTCAGTAAACTGCAAAACCTCTCATACAGTACTCGTGTCTTTTTCGTGTTTTTTCAACAAGTCCTTTCGGAGAATAGTGTCCGAAACGACGATATCGTTGAACTCAGCTCGTCAAGCGTTATGAGCAAATATCTCGGAGTTTCAAAATTTTTTCGTTTCAGATTGCACCATGCATTTGAGTTCCATTCAGATAGTAATTGCATGTACATGGGGTGCACGCTTCAGTGCTTGGAGGATTTGCCTTGGAGTTCGATACGAACTCATCTTCACTCATTACAATGTGAGAATGTGTGATAGGTTTTGTTCAGTCTCTGTCGTTCATTTATAGCATGGAGATGGTAGATAACTACACTGGTGTGCAAAACTTAGGGACGAGGTGGATAATGTAATGTAAAACATTGAGGACTGGGTGGAAATAAATGAAAGTGTGGGATTATATTGCCAGACCTATGACGGTTATGCACAGGAAGTTGGAAATGCCGTCGTGGAGAAATAGTTCAAATAAAGCGACAAATATGGCTACCCGCACAAATCGAGACAGCTGATAGTAACGAAAAAAATTTTTTGTCAGTCAGCCAGTGTTTTGTCAGTGTTGTCCGTATATCCGTCATATTCCGCAGACATCGTCTGGATGACCTGGCACGAGAAAGGATCATCGAGAAGCTCGAAAAAGGTCGACCCATGACGAGTGCAGTTCAGGAACCTGGTAACGCTAATAGCGTTGTTACACGTGCACGGAGAGCATTCCGAACCTCTGATACTGCTGCATGAAGGAGAGCAGGTGGTCAACCAAGGACAACTACATTAAAGCATGACCGCTACATTGTGCAGCAGGCAAGAAGAGATCCACGTCAGTCGGCTTCTTTGATTGCAATGTCATTTAACAGGATTTCAAAGCAAGGCATCCCACGCACTACAGTGGCACGACGACTACACGGTTGCGGTCTCTTCGCCCGACGACCACTACGTAGTGTTCCTTTGATCCTCGAGAATTGGCGAGACCGTTTAGGGTGGTGCAAGGATCATAGGGAACGGACCGATGAGAAATGGAGCCGTCTGCTTTTTTAGGATGGGAGCTGATTCAGGCTGAGTGGTGGTTTTGGACGCACCCTCATGGCCAGAGGTGGGGACACGCACATCTCTCAGAAACGTTGTGGAACTTGATCGTTCTGGTGGTCGAGGAGTTATGGTATGNAATCCTTCTCTAATGTGTCTCTTTTCAGGGCTGGAGTAAGCCCTGAATTCATTTTTATGGACAACAATGCGCGACCGCACCGAACAACTTAGGTTGAAGAGCTCTTGACACAAGAGGTTATCCAGTGAATGGAGTGGTCTGCCCGTTTCCCCGACCTGAATTCCATCGAACACGTGTAGGATGCACTGGGTAGAGGCATTGCAACACGTCCAAATGCATAACTGACCATCCAGTAGTTGTCAATTGCGCTGATAGAGGAGTGGAATGCCCTACCACGATACCTCATTTCCAACCCCGTGGAAAGTATGGGATCGCGTTGCAGAGCATTTACCGCTGTTCGTGGTGATCACGCACCATGTTAGGAACCGAGTCGCTTTTTTTGAAGTACTGAATTAAGTTGTGAGGAACTATGTGTAATCGTTACCTTTCAATAAAAATGTCTTATTTGCTCGCCCTATTTCGATTTTCTGCCAGTTGCTTCCTGTGCAATACCGTAATGATCCTCTACTGGTATGGTATACATTTTATCGAGCTCTGTCGTCTGGCAGAGGTACAGTAATAGAAAGTTGCTTTCGTCCCTAAGTTTTGCACACCAGTGTACATATACAGTCTCCACACTCAATACTCCTCCTCATACGCCTCTACGAGAATATGCCATCAACTTACCCCTACTCAGTGGCCCATGCTTCCCGCTCCCGCCCCTTCAAACCGCCGCCGAACTCTTATTCAATCCGTCCCTTTTGCCCGCCATTACAGTACTTTGCTTCTAGCAGGGTTTAAACCCCCCTTCCCCATATAAATCATCATTATTTGAACCAATTTCCTTCTTGGCACTGTAGTGCCCCGCTGCCTGCGAGTCACAGTCCCTCAAGTCTCTACTTCTAATTCCACGCCACTACGGTACCCGGCCGCATGCGCATCCAAACATCCCGCCAGGAAATCGATCAGCTACAGGCATATGGCAGAGGACTGTTCTGACGCGAGGTCTTCATCAGGGTTGACCCTTTTAAATATCACTAGATAGCATTCTTCACGAGCCCTCCCAAATCAGAATATACCAAAAGATCGTCTCATCTAGTATTTGCCGTGGAATGATGACATATTCTCAATGGGACCTGAGGAGGAAAATAGAGTACAGGGACTGTAGATGTAGTCATCTACAGCTTCCATGGAGACTGAACAAACCCATCAATCATTATCATTATTGTACTGTTTAAAGTCGAGTACGTATCGCACTCTAGAGTGAATTCTGAACACTGTAAGCTCAATCAGTTCGTACAAACAGTAGAGTGTATAATAGGTGCATGCAATTATATTTCGGGTAAACCAAGTGCATAGCCAATCGGAAACGAAGCAGTTTCGATACTTCAAGGTATATGATTATAGAGCTTGTCAAGCTGAGTTCAACGGTACTGCACTCTGAACCGATCCATGGAGAAGAGACAAAAAGACGCGAGCTCGCTGTACTCGCGCGAATCTTCGTATTCTTACGGCGAGTACTGTGGCAAGCGAGAATATGCTCTTGTTTGTGCAAGTCGGTCAACGATCTGTACTTTTAATATGAGGTCAAAAATGCCAGTGGATCACTCGATCATTTGGAATACAAGGATTTTTCTCGGCAGTCAAACCTTTTTGTACAAGCCTACGCATTTTTATGTCTTTTAATACCTCCATACATCGTTATTGAGAAACCACCAGAAACCAGTCGTAGCAGAGAGAGAAGCAAACTGACCTCTTCACAGATGCGTCCTTCATAATAAAGGTTGTCAATTAAGATCACATCCTGACTATTGATATTAGTGAGTTCTATCCGGATTGTAAACGGATCAACTGAATATGGAACGGTGAAGCTCAGCGGGTTCGGTGCATCTACGGCATCCTTGAAAAGGGTTGAAGAAGTCCAACAGCCAATTTAGCCAAGAAAGCTTACCTCGCAGTAACTAGTGCTATTGAAGAAATTTAAGCAGTACCGTAATCCTGGGCTGCCGTTGTTGGACCAAACACTGCAACTCAACGGGTTTGAAATATGCATAATTGACTAGCCAGGAGAAGTCAATGAATTTCTTACTCGAATTTGATTATGCCTGGATTGTCTTGACATGGGACAGTTGTTTCGAGAGCCGCGGTCCTAGGATGACCACTCGGATCTCCTTTTACGAGCAGAAATTGCCCACCTAGGATGAATTGGAGTCAACCAACATGAGGAGTCAGGACGAGTTTGAGGTGACTCACTTGATGGGAACCTTCTCGGATGCGTGCATTCGAAACGGTTAATGTCAAAGAGTGTACTCCATTCAGCTTTAGTGAAGCTTAAACGAGATCAGATCACGTCTAAATTTCTAGAAACGTTTGGACCTAGAGTGGAAGTCTTTTGCTGAAGCAACTTTTCTATCAAACCTTGAAGCCAATGGGAGCTTGAACCCAATGAGATTTTCATTTTATTCAAATAGTAGTGTTAGGCAACTGAAAAGCTCGGTCCCTTCATCTCCCTCGCTTCCTTGGAGGCTAGTATACTCCGAAGATTCCCCTTTCAAGTTTCAATACATCTGGGTCTTTTTGTTAAATTAACATTGTAGACAGAATTCTTGACATGAAAGAGTTGCATATCAAAAAAATCGTTGTGCTGTAGTAGCTTCAAAATTCTTGAAATCACTATGACTTTCGTGTCCGATTCCTTCATGTCCACTGCTGTCTGAAAAACACCCCAAGTGACTTCTTTCCTTCTATGCATGCCCTGGGTGGACAAGCACATCGAGAACAAGTGGGGTGCAAAAATTGCGAATATCACTGACCTCCCAATCAGGAAAGATCGTTTCAGCATAAAACCTTTGCACGTGGTCACGTGGTTTCCCAGTTTCGAAGCCAAACGGTGTTAACTGTTTTGGTGCAAGGTTAGGTTTAACATATCAAAATTTTTCTTGGGCCCCTTTACTAGAAAAAATGTTACGATCGGAAAAGCGTTTCACTAAAGACTTTTGACCGCTACTGTATATATTATATACATATGAATATAAATATAAACGTATAACTCCAACGGCAAGCCTGCATGTTCACACGGCTAAGAGTGTTCCTCCCCCCCCCCCCCCCCCTCGTGGAAAGCTACACTTTGGTAGCCATATGTCAGATCAGTAATAGAAGTGGGCATGATTCGCCTGAGCTTTGGATAGGACCACACGGGAGAGGCTGCTAAAATCTCGGGGCTTTAACATGCTGCTTGAAAGAAAAGGACAAAGATGGCGATTGAATTTGAATGTACGAAGGCTTGCTTGGAAGCATGTATCGAAGATCAGATGATGCAAGCTAGGAATATCAAGATGATCGGCATTGGATTGACTGAGACGAAAAGGCATAGACCGCTACACGTCATTCTCGGAACTAGGGAAGTCTGTTCTTCGGAACATGCAACAGCAGAGGCGTCGGCGGTGTAGATTCTCTGGCCAACAAGTACTCGGCCATGAACGTCGACTCGTACGAATGCTAGACAACCCGAATTGCACGTTGGCGATTGAGAAGATGTAACTCAACCTTAGCTCTAACAACCTTCATTGTCTATGCATCAACATCGACCTACAAAGAAGAAGAGCTGGGGTAGTTTTATATAGATCCGGAGAGGCTCTACAGAAAAGATCACACTTTCTTTAAGGCCATTCTTGGTGATTTCAACCCCAAGGCCGGCTCTCAAAAAAAAAACGGCTGAAGAGCTCCACATCGGAGCCTTTGGAAGGAATGCAGTGAGCAGGGTTGAAGGCTATCTGAATTTATCATATGGACCTACACTATCCTACTTTATAATTCGCTAAGTGTGTCTGTTGGTGTGTCGGTGTGTTTGTGTGTTTGTGTTTGTGTGTGTGTGTATGTCGGTGTGTGTGTTTGACCGGAAATTCATAAC